CTTCGTGTTTTCTGCATAGATAGGTCTAAACGAATAATTTCTTTTATAAGAATCAGCACAAAGCTGGTTCCTTTGAGGCAGAGGTCAAAGATGTCCCAAATGTCTAACTTTTCCAAGCTACTGTACCACTCTGTCATCTCTAACATCAGCTACTCCCTCTCTCCTCAGTACTCTCCCTCTTGTCTTTGGGTTCCCTAATTCCTGGCAATGTCTCACAGAACTCACGAACCATATAAAGGAAATGGCTCATGCGGTTGTGGAGGCTGGCAAGTCCCGAATTCGTGGGTCAGGCACAGACTTCTCCCTCAGTCTCTGCCCAAAGGTGCTCAGCTTTCTTGCTCCATTGGCCAGGAGGCCTGCTGTGCCGTCTCCTGTGGGTTTCTCCTTCTTCGGTTGTGGTGAGCTCCCCTCTGTGCTCTGGAATTGGCTCTCTTTTAAGGCAAATTGACCAATCCCCTCGGTGGGCCACAATTATCTTATTTGCACATCCCCACCCAATCACCTGGGTGGGAGCCACAAGACCGTGGCTAGAAAGGCCATACACAAAAGTAATTACTTGCACCGCAAGGTCTGTTCACATGCCTTTTCCCCATACCTCCTTGTTGCCAACTTCCCAATCATGGTTCTTCCTAGTCTGTGACTATCCAGCAAAACCATTGGCCACAGCCCGTGAATCTCCGTGTACACTCGTACTTCTGGCTATTTCTCATTCCAAGCAAAGTGAACAACCAGATGCACTGCCCGCTAGGAGGATTCTCCTTCACCACTGTCCTTCAGGGATGTCCCAGAAAGGGGCTGGAGTGCTGCAGCTGTCCACATTCAGGTGGTGCATGCATATGGCACAGAACCATGTATAAACCAGACAAGAGTTTTCCTCAATCAACTGATCATTGGGAACTCCCCATGAGGCCAGAGGTGGAGGCCAGGAGAGAGAAGGTCATGTAGCAGGAGTAGGGACCATTGACTTTTGGGCCACTTCCTCATGTAACTTGTTTGTGCCTTCAGGGCCTGTTCAAGCCTGATGTCCTATATATTACTTCCATTCGATGATGGAGTGCTGTTGTGCACACCCAGTTTTGTGGCTTGGTGGGTCACGTAGCACGTAGTTCATGATGGGCAGGTTCAGGTTACCTGGTAACTTAGTGTCCCGTGGTGAAGCATTTAGTGTCTACGAAGGCCCTAGTAGGAGCCCTGGTGGCACAGTAGTTAAAGCACTTGGCTGCTAACCGAAAGGTGGCCAGTTCGAACCCACCAGCTGCTTCATGGGAGAAAGATGTGGCAGCCTGCTTCTGTAAAGATTCACAGCTGTGGAAACCCTGTGGGGCAGCTCTGCTCTGTCATATAGTGTCGCTATGAGTTGGAATTGACTCTGGCAATGGGCTTGGTTTTGGTTTAGGGCCCTAGTAGCAAGCCAAGTCAACACATAAAGTTAATCATCTCAGCCTTAAAAATTCAGTTAATATATTTATTAGAAGAAAAATAAACACCCTTAAAAGAAATAAAGGCAAAATCTGCTTAAAGGGCTTCAAAAACCCCAAACCCTCTGCTGTCGAGTTGATTCTGATTCATAGTGACCCTATAGACAGAGTATGTCTTGGTCATCTAGTGCTGCTGTAACAGAAATACCAGAAGTGGATGGCTTTGACAAAGAGAAATTTATTTCTTCTTTTGGCTAAAAGTCCAAATTCACTGCGTCAGCTCCAGGGGAAGGCTTTCTCTCTCTGTTGGCCTTCTCATCAGTGTTACCCCGGACTAGGAGCTTCTCCGCCCAGGGACCCCGGGTCCAAAGGACACGCTCCGCTCCTGGTGCTGCTTTCTTGGTGGTATGAGGTCCCCTGTTTCTCTGCTTACTTCTCTCTTTTATATCTAAAGAGATTGCCTCAGGACAAAATCCAATCTTGTAGATTGAGTTCTGCCTTACTAACACAGCTGCCGCCCATCCTCCCTCGTTACCATCATTGAGGCGGGATTTACAACACATAGGAAAATCACACAATACTGGGAATCATGGCCCAGCCAAATTGATACATACATTTTTGGGGGGACATAATTCAATCCATGACAGAATAGAGCTGACCTGTAGGGTTTCTAAGGCTGTAAATCTTTATAGAAGTGGACTGTCACATCTTTCTTATGCGGAGCAGCTGGTGGGTTCGAACCACCGACGTTTTGGTTAGCACCTGAATGTTTTAACCACTGCACCACCAGGGCTCCTAGTTAAAGGCCTTAAAGATATAAAAATAAGAGTTAAAAAACACAATAGCTAGACAGTATAAAAAGGGAAGATGAACAAAACTTGGTAGAATGAAAAATGGTCATCGAAATTAAAATCTTGATTAGGTTAAATACAAAAGATACTTAGAGATCTAGGAGGTAGATCTGAGGAAATTATACAGGCGGTGAGGTAAAGATAAGGAAAATATGAAAGATAGTAAGACATAAAGGTTAGAATCAAAAAAATCCAGTATGTTTAATAGTGGTTTCTGAATGGTAAATGAAGAGTGGAGAAGAGATGCTATTCAAAAATTACTTTGAAATGTTCCAGAATTGATGAAAGGCATGAATTTATGGATGAGGTAACAAAAGTGTCATGAGCAGGAAAAGTAAAAATAGATCCTCATCCAGACACATCCTGTAAAAATTGGAGAACAGTCTATAAAGCACTCAGAGGGAAGAGGCCTAGCCCTTACAAGGGAAAGAAGGTTAAACTTATAGCTGACCTCTCAATAGCAAGAAGAGATGCCAGAAGATAATGGAATTATATTTCCAAAATGCTAAGATAAAATAACTCTCAACCTAGAATTGCATATCTAGTTTGAATGGAATTAAGACTCCAGCGATTGACGGAATACCAATTGAGATGTTTAAAACAAACAGATGCGATTCTGAAAGCGCTTAGTTGTGTATGCCAAGAATTTGGAAGATACCTACTTGGCCAGCTGACTGGAAGAGATCCACATCTGTGCCCGTTCTAAATAAAAATGATCCGGCAGAATGCATAAATTATCAAACAATATCATTAATACCACACACAAGTAAAATTTTGTTGACGATAATTCAAAAACTGTTGCAGTAATACATTGACCGGGAACTGTCAGAAATTCAAGCCAGATTCGGAAGAGGATGTGGCACGAGGGATATCATTGCTGATGTCAGATGGATCTTGGCTGAAAGCAGAGTACCAGAAAGATATTTACCTGTGTTTTATTGACTATGCAAAGGCATTTGACTGTGTGGATCATAACAAAGTATGGATAACATTGCAAAGAATGAGTATTCTAAAACACTTAATTGTACTCATGTGGAACCTGTACATAGACCAAGAGGCAGTCATTCATACAGAACAAGGGAATACTGTGTGGTTTAAAGTCAAGAAAGGTGTGTGTCAGGGTTATATCCTTTGACCATGCTTACTTAATCTGTATGCTGAGCAAATAATCCAAGAAGCTGGGCTATATGAAGAAGAATGCGGCATCAGGATTGGAGGAAGATTTATTAACAACCTGTGTTATGCAGATGATAAAACTTTGCTTACTGAAAGCGAAGAAGACTTGAAGCACTTACTGATGATGATCAAAGCCAACAGCCTTCAGAATGGATTATACCTCAGCATAAAGAAAACAAAAATCCTCACACTAGACCAATAAGCAACATCATGATAAACGAAAAAAATACTGAAGTTGTCAGGGATTTCATTTTACTTGGCTCCACATCAACACCATGGAAGCAGCAGTCAGGAAATCAACCAACGTATTGCATTGGGCGAATATGCTGCAAAAGACCTCTTTGAAGTGTTAAAAAAGCAAAGATGTCACTTTGAGGACTAAGGGCGCATCTGACTCAAGCCATGGTATATTCAGTCACCCCCTGTGCGTGTGAAAGCTGGACAGTGAATAAGGAAAACCAAAGAATTGATGCCTTTGGATTACGGTGTTGGCAAAGAATATTGAATATACCATGGACTGTCAGAAGAGCCAATAAATCTGTCTTGGAAGAAGTACAACCAGAACGCTCCTCAGAACAGCAAATGGCTATTAATAGCCAAACAGTTTTGAAGAAGAATAAGAAAATAGTAGGACTTATTTTACCTGGTGTTCAGATTATTTCCGTATACTCCTTTGTCTGTAATTAGACAGTAATAGACTAATGGCCATATGGAAATTCTGGAGAACATAGACATACAGAAACTTGAGAGTATAGGGATTTACAAATCAGTGGAGGAAATGATGGGCTATTAAATGATTTTAGGACAATTGAATATGCATATAGGAAACAATAAAGTTAGTTTTTTTTAATCGTTGTAGTTGAAGTGAAAGTTTACATTTCAAGTTAGTCTCTTATGCAAAAATTTATACATACATTGTTATGTGACCCTAATTGCTCTCCCCACACTGTGACGGTAAATTCAACCAGCTCCTAACCCTGTCTGCCTTCTCATCTTACCTCTGGACAGAAGCTGCCTATTTAGTCTCTTGTATCTACTTGAGCTAAGAGGCACATTCCTCACAAGTATCACTTTATGTCCCACAGTCCAGTCCAATCCCTGTCTGAAGAGTTGGCCTCGGAAATTGTTTTAGTTCTGGGCTGATAGACAATC